TAGCTGCAGTGCATTCTGGTCTGTTCAGTTACACACAGAAAGAGTCCACAGACCAACACACCACAACCAAGTTTAAGTGTCCTCCTGTTTGCAGGATAGCGTGTGTGAGCGCACCCAGTGTGTACCAGAAGTTGAAGCAGGGTGTGGTGGACGGCTCTGATCGGGTGTCCGCCGTCGTGTTGGAGTACGACCGCCGTTTCGCCGCCTACGGCAACGACTTTGTCTTCTACGACTACAACGAGCCGCTGTCCATTGCGGCCAGCGTGGCTCCTCAGAGCTTCGACATCGTCCTCGCCGACCCGCCGTACCTGTCGGAGGAGTGTCTGAGCAAAGTGGCCCAAACCATCAAGTACCTGAGCAAAGGCAAAGTGCTGCTGTGCACAGGTGAGGGGGGGGCTTTAGTCTCTCATGTATTCTTATTTTAGTAATATTGTCCTGAAGGTCCAGTGTGTAATTTAGTGGCATCTAGTGGTGCATTAGCAGATCACAACTCTGTAGCTTCACCCTCCTCTTCCAAGCACTAAAGAAAAACTATGGCGGCGAAGAAATGTGCAAAAAGTGTCCCTATCTATCCCTAAACCCCTATCTAGAGCCAATGTTTGGTTTGTCCCTCCTTGGCTACTGTACAAACATGCGATTTAACATGCAAACATGAGGTGTCTGTAGATAAAAACAGCTCATTCTAAGGTAATGAAAACATAACAATTCCTCTGTTTGGGTGATTATACACTAATGAAAATTGAATATTATATTTAATTACTGCCAATAGATCCTCATAAATGTTACACACATTTAAAGGACACCTGCCAGCCAATCAGAAACAAGGGTTTTCTGTGCCCTAAGATAAAATACTGACGCGCTGATCTCTGTATAGAATTTGTATGTGCTTATATAATCTCGGGGGAGATGGTGCACTGCTGTCTGTTTTGTTCTCCTACACATCGTGGCTAATACCACTATCGTCTGATCTGTGTGTCCGCTCTGTTCTGTTCTGCAGGAGCCATCATGGAGAAAATCGCCAAAGACCTTCTGGATGTCAGAAGGTGCAGCTTCCTGCCAAAACACAACAGACAATTGTCCAACGAGTTCCGCTGTTTCGTCAACTATCCGTCTCGCCTGCTGTCCTGCTGAGGAGCTGAAGATGGACAGCTCACACCGACGTTCTCCAGCACAGCGTTCTACAGCTGTGGTCTCGTACTGTCGAGGAATGAAGGAATTCATTAAGGGAGAGGACATCTTCAGGGCCCATTTTAGTCAACTCTTTAGAATTACAGGTGAACTTGAGTCTCATAAATCAAACACAGCTTGTTGATGAACAAATATTGGTAACCTGCTGGTTTTCTACAAAAAATGTTATTTAAGAAAACTAACTGATGTTAATTTTAGTTAATAGTGTCAGTTGGTACTATTGGTCAAAGCAAAAACAGAAAATAGTGTCAGCCTCTCCAGTGTGAGGTTTCTTCTGTTTTATATGGTTTTCAATTGAACATCTTTTGGGTTTTGGACTCTTGATTGGACCAACTGAGCAGCTTTTGGTTTTTACAGTTTACAGACCTTTAATGATCTTTTGGTTCTTTTATATCAGTTTTACACATGGACATCAGTTTACGCATCATGCAGAGCTGTATTAAATCCTGTGCTTAAGGTGCTGTGTCAGCTTTGAGAGAATAACCCCTGATGATGTCATGGTGATGTCATCAGGAGGCTAGTCATTTTTAACACAAAGCCTGTGTTTTACAAACTCCTGCACAGTTTGAAAGACGTGGGCTTTCACCAGACAGAAGGCTCTGACAAAAAGATGCGGTCAAGTTGCATTATGGGAAATGTAGGATCCATTGTATCTTGGCCTCATCTGCTTAGATTTTGACCCTTATTAATTATTATTGTTATTAAGTGCCCTTTAAGTTCTAGAAACCACTGAGTCTGCTGTTACTGGTTAGCAGCAAAGGAGAGTTTCAGTTTCGTCAAATACTCGATGTTTTGATCTACCACGTCCTTGTATGGAGACATACTGAAGGAGCAGTACAAGATGGAGTTCACAGCATCACTACCAAGTTGAACAAACAAGCAATGGAGAGAGCTAACGAGAGTGACAAGGAGACATGAACAACTGAAACTTTAATGGTATTTAAAGAGATGCACAGCTCCTCCACCAGACGCCCAGAGTGGTGAAGAGTTCAGCCGGAGAATAAACACCTCCTTACATGTTTCAGTTGATTGTCGTCAGAGGCAGAGCAGCACCGACTGTTCAGCTGACAAGAAGAAAGATGGAAGAATAAATAAAAAGAAAAGGGAAAATATTTTATGCAGCAGGTGTGTTTATTCTCTTAACTTTTTTACTTATGTGATGATGACAGCGGTTGAAACCACAGCTGTTATGTCTGTCCTGTATCCTGAAAATGCAAATGAGACTGAGGTGAGCTAACTTTATACAAACGGACCCAAAATATTTCTTGTTGATGACAAGTTGTTGTAGAAATGTGTCAGAATAACAGTGAATGTAATGTCAGGGTTCTCCTGCTGATCACAGCCACAACTTGCAATCAGTAGGTGGCAGCGCTGATCAGGTTATTGATAGTAATGAGGCCTTTTATTCCATTGGTCAGTATTTGCTTTTTTCCAAAGGGTTGGTCCAGCCAATGATATAGACATAAACATGTTCTGGTGTATTTCTAGTGCTATGTGTCCATGGTTGTGGTGTTTTCGGCCAGGTGTTGAGAGTCCTGCCTCCACCCCAGCACAGTGTGAATCACAATCTGATTCTGTTTGTGTGGCTGAAATCTGATGAATTTCTCAAAAGAGCCAATAAAACCCAAACTATCTGCGTGGCTGCATCCAGAAGGTAAATGAAATGAAGTTTTCTGTATCTTGGCTGAACCAACCCTTCAAATGTTAAAGTGTACTCAGAGTCCCATGTAGTCTTCTCTGGATCTGTAGGCCTGTTACAGGACAGCTGCAGATCCAGTATTTGCTGCTTTGGATTTTGTATCATTTTACAACTTCTTTATGAAGTCCAGCTCAGTTCCAGGTTCAGATCCAGAGTAAACAAGCCAGACAACAAACGGTCCTCATTTGCTTCCAGATGCTGTAGATCAGTCTGCAGGAGCAACTTCACAATCCAAATCTTCAATGTGTTGTTTAGGGACAGTCACAGGGGATCCTACTTCACAGTAGAACAGATTGAGTGAGTAAAAACGTAATAATCCGGTGTAGAAACCTGTATCTGGGGTAGCACAGACAGTCCTGCGCCCTTCATACCCTCTTTCCCGCAGAGACGAGCCGTCTGGCTTTGGGCCCCGCTCTCTCCAGGCTCTGGTTGCCGGTCTGGCCGTCCCGCTCCTTCTCCAGCAGCGGCACACAGGTGCACCCCACGGCGATGGAGACGTAGATCTCTGTGTATGAGTATCGGCCAGCGACGCAGGAGGAGCCGCTTCTCTTCAGGATCACAGAGGGAGCGTAGACCGGAGTGCTGCGGTACAGGTCGCTCTCCCCCCCGTACGGTCCCATCAGACAGCCCTTACACAGGCAGTAGGCCTCGGGGATGTAGCGGGGATACCGGCTCGGGTCGTATGAGATCCTGAAACAGTGAATTCAACAGTCAGAGTTTATATTTATTTATAGATTGCTGCCTTCATTCAGTAGCTGCTGCTAACTTTCTGTATATATAATACAGATTTTCACTTTTTCTTTAACTCTGTCCCTTCTGCGGTCACTGTGTTAATAAATGAGGACATGAGGTGACTGACACGAGTCCGTCTTTGCTCCTGCAGTGACACAGTGCTGTGTCCTTTCAGTCCAGAGGCGAGTTAAACAGAGGAGGAGCACCTGAGGCTGTCTAACCCAGGAGAGACTGACTGTAGGTCAGTGTGATTCACACCAAGGACATCTTATCCCAGTGTCCCCCATCTGATCTTTAGATGTTACAGAAAGGACATGAAACCCATATAGTCATACTTATTTATGGATGAATTATAGTGAAAATAAATTAAATAATTCTACATTGAAATTTAATAAATTAGAAAAACATTATTCCCCTTGTTGCTGGAACCTTCACTGTAAGACTGCTGCTGTAGGTCATACAGTACAATGTGACATGTGTTTGATGACATTGTCTAAACAGCTGATATCATAGATATAGATATAATCCAGTATTGCATTTGTATCTTCTGTAGACTTTTTGATGGCCTGTGATGTTTCTGTGGGTTATATAGGCTGGTAATTATGGTTATTTAGTAGATTGTTTGTTGTATCTTAAAATCATTTATTTACATGATATCTGGAATATACAATATACAATTTCCTATAGTTCTACTGTATTTATTATGAAAGAGCAACTCATAATATAATATAATATAATATTTAAACATGCACGATTTACCCCCACCTTAGTGTTTTCAGGCTCAGTTATATGGGGTTATAAGATACTTAGTCATCCATAACGCTGATCTGATTAGGAGCCTTTAAAGCAAATCTTCAAAGCAATCTGACAGTTTTACAATAACCTCAACACTGTTATTAATAACACCATGTATGGATCCACCGCTGAACTTAAAGAAAGAGTTCCATGACAAAAACACACAATGATGGAGCTAGTTTGGAATGCAAACTAATGTACAGACCGGAGATAAGAATGGAACAAGCTAAATATTATCCCTTTAGTGTTGCACTCGCTCTCACCTGTAGGCCCAGGGGGAGATGCTGAGCAGGTTGACCGGGAGGCGGGTCTTGCTGTCGGTCCGGGAGCGTGCGCTGGTCGGGCAGCTCCGGTTGAGTTTGTCCTGCGGCTCCAGCTGCAGGGCGTGGTGGAAAGCGCTCATCACTCCCACCGAGAGACGCCCGAACATCTGCTCCAAGATCTCCTCCGGCAGGTCCTGGCAAGCCCGGGTCCTGGTGGCCTTCTTTCGTACCCGGCCCACCCCGGCCGCCCAGCCCAGCAGCAGCACGGCCAGGTGCAGGAGCAGCAGCAGGACGCGGATCCGACGCGGCATCACTGTGCGCTACTCGGAAATGCGTATCTACTGATAAAGGGTTCTGTGCGCGGTGTCAACGCCTTCTCTGCCTTTGGCTTTCTTAAAATACGAGTATCACAACGCAAGTGACCTTCATTAATGACACAACTGTTACTGTTAGCAGGTTATTTTCCTCTGTTATAATCCAGTGAAATGCTGGAGTCGTTGGAGAACCAGGCACACAGTCCACAGTCCTGGCTTGGAAACGCAGGGGCGCCGCCAGGGAAACCGCGGAAACATTTTGGCACAACACGTCCGCAGTGTCGCCAGGGGTAATAATTACCTTAGAATTAGGAATGATTACCGAGTTGGCACTTTTACACCTGCTGCTTTCTGTTAAAGAGGAGAAAACGCCACCAAGCGTGCTTTCCTGATGCTTTCCTCTAGTGGCGTGTGCGTAAAATCCAATGGGAGCGTTTGTACGCGCAGGAACAGCGTGATCCACCATTCAGAACCAGTTTAAATGAAACTGACTGACAGATAAACTCCCGGCTTCAACCTCGAGCCTCAGTAATAAAAAGAAAAAAAGAGGCCAGCGTCCATGAGAGCAGCTCCTGACGGGAGTGGGAAGTCCAGACTGTTGGCTCTGCTGCTGCATCCTGGCTTCACACCAGAGTCTACTTCACTTCAAGATAAACTGGATCCAGTTATGTCCAACCTCTTATGTCTGCTCTGGCTGCACAAAGAAACTATGAGGCCAAGGTCAAAGGACCACATATAAATACAAATTATGTTTAACAGCTAAACGTATATTTCTGTTTCTTTTTTCATCCAAAGTCCCCATTGCCCCTGTCATCGAGTATGATGTGTGTGGTGAATTTAATTCATTAAGATTTATGTCAGGCAAAAGCTTTCAATTATATTATGCAAATAAAAAGGCTCTTAAAGCTTAATTCAATACAGTTTACCCTCCACTAAATATTCGCTCTGATCTGTTACCTCACATTAATACATCAGATTGTCAGTGTGATTTCAATACTAAAAAAACTCAGATCACATGGTTTGTGTTTTATCTGAAGGTCACTGTGCTCAGAATAAGACTGCTCCACTTTTATCTTGAATAGATAAAATATTTCCTCTTTTAATTATATAAGAAATGACAAGACAAATAAATATTACACAACAAATAAACATTTCTGGAAAAAGTACAAAATGCAAAGAGCAACGAAACACAACCTGAAATGGATGGATTACATAAGTTTGGTATATCATGCTGATGGATTTTCCAGAAGCTTCCCAGGCTCACACATGGAAACACGCGGTGCAGTCAAAACTATCAGAACAGTGAAATGTTTTTCATTGTTTCAGCCCTCTATCCCAACACTGGATTAACAATGTAAAGGTTATGGTGAGGTTAAAATGCAGGCTTTAAAGCTTATAAAGGCGTTTTATGCCATTCACATCCGTATTGGGTGAACGCTGAAGAACCCCATTTACCCCTGGGGGAAGAGCAGTATGGTCAAAAAGTATGTCTATAAGTTCTGCACACTTCATCGGTTGGGAATGTAAACACATATTAAAGTCAAAACGCACTGTGATTGATTCATTTCAAACTTATTGTGCTGGAGTACAGAGCCAAAACAAAACTGTTCCAACAGTCCCAGACTGCACTGGAAGCAGCTTCTTGTTGCACTCATGCCATGTATATATGTATTCCTCTGCTGAATGGATATGAATAAATATTTTACCTTCAAGAAATCAGCTGTGGGTCAGTCTGTTTTTCACTCAGATGATGCAAAGATTGGTCATGAGCAATCAGACAGAGGTAAAGACATCAGACAACAACAGGAGACTACAGAGAGTCACTGGACCCTCATTGATGCCCGTGAAAAATAATCTTTGTTTTTTGCTGAAGAGCTGAGTTGAAACTGTTTTTGGTTTTGTGGTGAAACGTTGTGCTCTTGTCTTTCAAAAGGTGGTAAAAGAGCAAATGTTGCAGTGAAGGCAGAGGCTACTCCGGCAGCAGGTCGTCTCCAAGCTCTTCATCTGCAAAGTCGTCATCCTCCACGCGCTTCTTGGCCCCCGTCTTTGGTCTCTCCATCTGAGGGCCCAGTGGGTCCACGTAGGACGCGTCTACACACGAGAGGAACAGAGGATTTACTCCTGACAATTTGATTGATAATAAGAGTTAAAGAGCACTCCTACGAACATTCTTTCATTTCTACACACGTTTCCCAAACCAGCACATTGGGGAGAGTGAATGCTGTAAGAACCTTTTAACATCTACTATCTGTGGTGATAAAGATGATGAAGTCTGCCTGTTTTCCGACCACATTTCTTCCTCAAAGAGGATGATTCACCACTATCCTTCCAGGTTTTTATAATGCGTTGGACAGTTCTTAACCCAATTTTAGTACTTTCAACAATCTCCTTAGTTGTTTTCTTTGCTTGATGCAGGCCAATAATTTGACCCTTCTGTAACNNNTTCTGTAACTGATTAACATCCTTTCCACGACCACAGGATGTCTTCCGACATGGTTGTTTAAGAAATGAGAAGCTACTCACCACATCAGCTAGGGTTAAATAACTTTAACTAACTGTTGCCAGCTGAAACATATTGATCACTGCAGTAATTATCCAATGGAATCAATTTGTTTAGTTAAATCTAGGTGGTGACTTTTTTTTTGGGACGGGCAGTGTAGTTTTATACTTATTCATTATTCAGTATGAAAACAGTCTTATGTTACTACCTTTTATAAATCATTACTGGGTGGAAGTCACTTTAAGAAAGAAAACTTTGATTTAATGCTGCTCGAGGCAGGCGTTACACTTAAACTCACATTAAACCAAAAATGAAGCAGTGGTGGTTCCTAAATGTTTCATGAATATGCAGCTTCTGCTTCTGTTAATGTCCTCATTTCTGTATAAGACTGGTGATCCATCCATTTTCTAAGTCTGATCTAAACTCCTTTCTCACCTGTGTTTAAGCCTTGAGAACAGGCGAAACAAATGTTTTAAAAGGTGAAATTTCAAGTGAAAACATTCAAGTTCTTCCAGGTGAGTTTTATTTTTGTTACATTACTTGCTAACACACAATATATGAGCCTTGTGTTTAGAGTCTAGAGAAGAAATAAAATTGTTGCCTGTCACCCAGGTAGAAGTAAAGTTAGTAGGTTTAAGTATTATACCAAAGGAAAATGGATTTGCCATTTTATTTTTTTCAAGATGAAATAAACAGATACACAGTTGTCTCTTAGTTGTCACTGTTAAGTAAGTAAGAACTGTTGTGTTCTTATGGTCAATAACAGACTTAAAAAAGAAAGTAACTTGTGGGAAATATTGTTGTAAGCAACTTTACATTTTAGTGGCTTGGAATAGCAGCAAGAGGTGCTGACTCGGGATGAAAATAGCTTTGATTTTGTGATTATCTAGTACGTAAATACAGCAGATTGGTGGTTGAGGTGTCAGTAAATCTCAAGGACACAAAGGGTTCAAAGATGAAAGAGAATAAGTGAGACCATTGATCACAGAGAGAAAGAGAGAGCAAGAGAGGAAAAAATGTTCTCACCTATTTCTTTCGGGCTGCTGGCCTCGTAGGGCTCATTGGAACCAGGAAGTGACTTCATCTTGGCGCTCAGCCGCTCTCCTTTGGTGCTGTTGCTGCTGTGGCCGCTGTCTGTACAGAACACACAAGCAGAAACAAACACGTACCCAGAATTAGAAAATGTACTGAATTATGACCTATTAAAGTTTAATGGTATTTAATGTCCATCAAAGCAGGACCCAGTTATGTTTGCTTGAGTGTAGTGAGACGGTGTTGACCTCCTCAGGGTGTGTGTGCATGTGACTATAGCCTGCATGTGTCTTAATATACTGTATATGTAATGTTAAGACCCTCATTAACTCACTTTAACACAATGTATGCTGAAAACCAAGCCATGTAAACACCAATGCTGCTTTCCATACACTTTTATGTATTTCCAAAGCTTTTGTGGATCTCTGTGTGTGTTCATATCACTGTTGTTATTTGACAGTGTCAGATGTGGTGTGAGAAACTCGTGGCATCGAGTAACAATTTCAAAGGCCACTAGATATATTCAGACTTCACAGAGGTCAAACTGAAAGTGAGCTCATTTTTCACACATTCTGAAGAGTCAATATGGTGGAGATGTGAGATTTTCCTCTCACAGAGACAGTAAGTTATGAAATGTGCGTGTGTGTGTGTTTTCTGAGGCAATGAGATGACTGAGCACAGCGGTTCCCAACCTTTTTATTCTGACCTAACCACACATCACCACACATTTTTCCCAGCACATTTGATATAATAGTTGTCCAAACAAGACATGTGATTCTGTAATTTGCCAATGTTTAAGCTTGAATTATATTTTTCCATTTTGTGTTGGTTTGGCCAAGTTCACTTTCATACTACCAACACTTGGAGTGGCATAAGCTTAATGTTCCAATATTCTTTCCTTTATTTTTATCTATGTACAGTATTTCTCTGCTCGTTTGTTAACCCGATCCCCACACTGTCAATGACAATGAGTGGTGAAGGTTTGTGTCTTGTGCACTTTGCGTATCGTAGCTGGTAGTTTATTGGTAGAGATGTGCTTCAGCCTCACACTGACCCATCTGAATTTCCACTCTTCTCCTAAATCTAAATATAAAGGTGTTTTTTCAAAATTACCTGAGCTACTTACCCGAGTATCCTCCTGGCTAAGAATCATTAGTCTAACAGTTACAAGATACCATCCATCATTCAAAATGTAACAGTACTGAATGCCCTTTAGCAAGACGCTGAATAGCCAGCTCAGGTCCTATTCATCTCAGACACAGAGCTGGTACTCTTCACAAGACGTAATGTAGAATGTGTGTGTGTGTGTGTGTGTGTGTGTGTGTGTTTAAGGCTCAGATGACAGGCTGACAAAGCGGTCTAGTGAGCTGAAGGACAGACATGATTACAGACAGCAGCAGCCCACATCTGGCTGCCAGGTAGCCTTGGCAACTGACGAGAGCAGAGGCAGAAAGCTGGAAAACAGGAAGGAGAAGGAGGCCCGATATTCTACCTTCCTTCACAGCCCCAAACATCTCACACAAGGCCTCACATACTGCTGGCAAACTGAAACCTCTGCTGGAAAACTGTTTTTCTCCCTATTTTTTTACCCCCTTTTCTTGGATGGGGTTTCTCTTTTATAATACACAACTGGGAGACACGGAAAAGAGGGATGACACGACAGGTTGGAAGCCAGACTTCAAATTAATTGCGTGTAACAGTTTCCATGATTAAAGTAAGTTTTATTCGCCTCCGCGGCATGAATGGTCATAATATTTCTGTGGGGGTTTGATAGAGACGTTGATCAATATGGATGATTCAACTTCCTGACTTTTGCAACTCATTTTCCTGCTCAAACCCATTTGGAACAACATTTAGACCACTATAAGATCATAAAAGGATCAAATATAAATACAACAAATACTGACCAACAGCTGCTTCATGATATCAATGTTGCAATTATAGTCTAAATTTGTTCATTCATTGGACATAGAGAACACAAAAGTTAAGTGATAACAGTTTCACATCAAAGAATGACGCAGGTTTGGATGTGTGAGAAAACAAACTCACACAAACACGCTCCTCAACGGTGCTGAGAGTATGCAGACTTTACAGAAAAGAGGGAAAATTCTCAGGTGCACTAGAGGTTTTCTCAAATCTCTGAAACATGTTTGGGTGATCACTCCCCTTCTCCTTGGTGAGAGAGCTCAATGCAAACAGCGACCGCGGTCCAACATAACAGCTGCCTGTCAGCCAAGATTTCTGGACCAGTTTCAGGTGTTTTTACCGAAACACTATACTTAGGTTTCTCAACTTGTGTGTTTACCTACGGGAAACTCTTCTAACCACTCGCGTCTGCTGAGTCTAGTGCACAATGCTGAAAATTTCACTCGGACGGTATTGAGTAGGAAAAAGGATTTAAGGTTTAAGGTTAAAAGGTTAAGATGCTACAATAAAGCCAGTGAAATGTTTTGCCATGTGTCTACTGGAATGTGGCTCCTTAAATAAAGCAGTGAATGTGCTACAAAAATAAAGTTTTGCTTGCTTGCGTAAAGGGGAAACCAACCCAAATTATATTCCTGTGGTTAGAAGAGACTTTAGTCCAATTCTTTTCACTTTTTGAAACATTTGAAAATGACAAATTCTAAGACAGAAGTAAGATGTTAATGCGTCATATAGCACGTTTGGTTAATCTGGCTAATCTAACATCTGGCCATGCAACAACAGTTTCGACTGGCACATTTACAGTGATGTGCATTGTCGCTGTAAAAATAAAATAAATAAATGAGATAAATGCAGGAGATTCATGTGATTGATTATTAAGAGTTTGGCTGATCATCACTAATACAAATCGGTTGAGTGCAGTCTAAATCTAAATTTCCAGCGTCAGTTCTCATGGAAGCTAATATTACAATAGAGGATCTTAGTGCTACTGCAATGACACAAAGAAGGAAAAGCAACATAATGCTCAGGAGGAAGAGGAAAATAATAATCTGATGTGGTGCTGATTTACTAATTTTGTAAGCTTTTTGCTATGCTGTAGATAAAACCCACTCTGGGTGACAAAAAGAGAAATGATTGAAATGAGACAGGCAAGCTCTAGTTTTTCTAAGGATCTCTTACGTCTAAGTGGCCAGAAGTACAGTCCTACAAACCTACAGCTGTCACTTATTTAATCTGGAGTGGGAATCTTACATACCTCTCCCTGAGTCCAACAGTGGACTGAGTTGTTTAGACTCAGTCTGAGATACTGGGCAGCAGAGAAGAAGCAGAGTGAGAATGCAGCCAGAGAAACAGAGCAGCAGGAAGGCAAAGAGAAAAGAAAGATTAGAAAGAGGGACTGAAAATAACTGCATATAAACAGAGAACAAAACATAAACAGCGCAGAGAGAAGCAATTGCACTAGCATGTGGAATGAGAGCTGATGAGAACTAATTAGTTGACATTTTATAGCCTTCGTTTTCTCACCTGCTTTAACATCCACCTCTGATGTGCCGTAAGAAAGTGAGAAAAGGGTTTGGGGTTTAAACAACTTCAAAGTGTCATAACCAATTATTCAAGGACACAGAAGTAAAACATGTTAAACAATGTTGAAAAGCTTCTTTTAAATGAGTCCAGTTACAGTTCTGGCAGTACAAAACAAAATAGAACACTAAAACACAGGTTTGAGGTTTTCTAATCTAATTTATCAGGACACAGGGGAATATTGGCAGGACAGAGCATCAGGCGCATTAACAGGTGCCTGATATATATATTTAACTCCACTGCAGGACGTTTGCTGCACAAGAGAGCAAAGCTGGGTCTCGTTACAGTTTTTGGCAACTCTCTAGTTTGTCTGGATTGCGTTTAAAATCTGCTGATGAGCCAGCTTTCCAGTGTTGGAGCCAGTCTGGAGTATGTGTCTGTATTTGTTGTGGATCTGTCGTGAAGGAGTGCTATAACGGTGCAAGTTTGTCTTCTCCAGTGTCTTCTATGGCTCTGTTATGCTCTGTGCTCCTAAACAGTCTTATCTTACAAAGATATGAGGCTACATTGTTATTCCACTTGAAACATTTTGTAATGTTACAGCCAGGATGCAAGAATTCAGTCAACCCAGGAGGACCATTAATCTGACCCAGAAAGATGTTCGACCTGTTAGTGACCCATATGGGATTAGATGGGGGTTACAGCTACACATCCAACATCCAACAGTTCCATTTATGGCCTTAAAAATAATCTTGTAGCAGAACATGAGTAGTCGGGACTTAGTGTGGTGTATCAAGGTATACCCATGATGCTGGCCTTCTTAGGAGAGTTGAGGACAGGTGTGGAGACGCCTGCTACCCAGCAGCATGTGTGAACGACATTTAGAGGAGAGAGGGAAGTGAGAACATACATGGTTGAGGTTTGAAACACCCATACTAACAATATATGCACTCATGATGGTGTTAGGCACTCTGGAAATACAATAGGTGTTACAAAATGGCAAATGTTATGTTTCTAGGTACTTATTAAGCCCACACTATTCTTCAGATTAAAATGTGGAGTTACGTTTTCATTGGACCTTCCAAACATTTCCAGACCTATGCACAGGTGAAGGTGACTGCTGACTCACCAGCACTCCCTGCACTGCCGTCTCTGCCTTCTCTCCGACCTCTGGCACTGCCCTCCCGGCCCGACTTCACCCTCTGCAGGAAGAGAGAAAGAGGGAGTTAAGATTGCACTGCAGACAAGGACAAAAATAATTCAACAGAATTCTAAAGAATTTCCGTGATAAAAAAACAAACAATAAAAAGAAATACTGAGCCGGGGCAGCTTTTTCTGCCCCTTTTTATTTGTTTCTCCATCTGTGTCACATAAGTTAAGTCAGTTGTATTGGAATGTAGAGACAGATTAAAAATATCCAAGTGGAATTTGACATTAATATATGAACAAATGAGTATAAATGTCACATGTAAAAAAGTCTTAAATTTCCAGTTTGTGTGGAATACACTAGAAGGGACGTCCAATGCAGAAACACCACAGCAATGAGCAGTTAGCAACAAGATGGATGAAATATATAAAACAAGGGTATGGGACTTTCCATGGTAAAATAAGACATTTAACATAAACTCAACATCAGATAGAGCAGTGATTTCATCTTAACATGTTCGTTTTTGGTCCTAATCATTCTCTGAGAGATCACGTGATACACTGTGCAGTTATATTAGCAGGATGAGTTGTTTTTCATTGTCCCTCAGTTTGGAGGATTTGGGGATTAATGAGTCAACCTTCTGGCTTTGTGTGTCTCTGAAGGATTGTTTCTCTGCTCAGGGCTGATTTAACAGCAGCTGTTTGTGATTTGACAAAGTCATCCTCCTCATCTGTTCCTGGCTCTGATGAATATCTCCACAGGACAATGGCACACAGCTCTGTTGCTCTGAATCTCGACCCTCCTCAAAACCTGACTGACCCCAGATTGCTGCCAGTTTTGTGGCCCTAAGTTTGGGAGCCACCACAGATAATAGTTATGCAGAATTAATTTAAATTATGTGATAGTTGGGCTTTGGGGTAATTTCCATTTCTGCCAATAGATTCTCCTAAATGTTACACACTGAATGAAACTTTTTGTGCCTCCAGAGAGAGCTGCGTGAAGTCTGATAAATGTCCTCAAGCGATGTGACTGGAGTCCGTTCATGATAATGATAAAAATCTAAAGATGTGCAGTTAGAAAGAAGTGACTCCACCAGAACTCTGTAGCTCTGCATTAGCTGCCACTAACATAACACACCTGAATCTCTGACCAAACTCATGGCGGTCCAGTTGCATTGTGGATAATGATTAATCAGACTTTGACAAAGAGGAAGAAAGCGTGCAATAAAAAATGATATCTGTGGTTCTGCTACATCGATTTTATCCTTTTAATTTTGAATGGAATACAGCAAAGAAGTAAAGAGGATGTTATTTTGGAGAATATTTAAGCAGGTCTTGCAGGATCATATTCGGGGTGTGCAGATTAACATCATAAGTGTCTAAACCAATAAACCAATCATAGTCAGGCAAACAGTCCTCGCCAATCTAGTGACATATGTCTCCAGTTATCCATTCAGATCCATTACCATCTCAGGTGACACGGAACAACCCAAACAACTGCATGTAGCATCAGACATGTGAACAACACTGTTTTAAATAACCCAGCATTAGTGTCAGCCAGGTGTTAAACAGCTGTATAACATTTTCTCTCCTCTGCATACACTTTGATTCATAGAAAATCAACAGAAGAGAAAAACAGCTGCAGTGACCACTGACCCACTTTATGGCAAAAAGACATGTGTATGTTTTTAATCAGTGTGTTCTTGTGCAGGAACAGACAGCAGCACGCCAAGACATTGGTGAAGAAAAGATGATTAATGAAAGCTCACGAAAGGTTCTGTAATACATACATGACATTTATTTATGCGGCTGCATAATGTTAACATTATTCAGATGTATTACCTAATTTGAATGTTATATCCTCCAACTAATCTGCTTTTATAAGGTTAAATAAATTAAATCTTGATTGACTTGTATATTTCAGTAGATTTGGACCCTTAAGTGGGATTTTTTTTTAATCTTATCTTCATATTTGGTGATAAACCCTCACTGGTTTTCCTGAAGAGCAATACCAGTAGATCTACAGTGTGCTGTGACATCTTCCTCATTAGATTGTTTCTGGCCTTTCTGTAGTTTTCTATGCCTATTCATTGAAGTTAGTGTTCCTGCTAACAACCCGTCTCTTCTGCTGTTTATTCCAAACAAACTGCAAATGTAAAATACATAGCATCCTGTGTGCCATATGTTTCCAAGAAAGCGCTATCGGACACCACATGATAACAGCTGTAGAAGCTTTTATAAACCTATAGCATGAATCACTATCAGGTTGTAGCAACTGGTAATGGCAAACAGAGGTTTATTTACAGAAAGTGCCAGTGACAGCCTGAGGAGACATACCTGTTCTCTCATCTCCTTCATCTTCTCCACCTTCTTCAGCTTGGTGGCATATTCTTGGACTTCTTTCAGTCCCATGTCCGTGCACAGCCTCACCAAGAAACGCAGACCTGGACAAACACACAGAGTTTTTATTTTCTTTACACTGATCAGTGCGATCATTTGCTGTAAGACAATAGGTATGTTGATAATTGCGTAACAAAAAGAATGAATTACATTCCACATTTTCTGGAAACTTGCGGTGAATGTCTTTATACGTTTCCAGAGCTTTCTGGTAGTTTCCTGTAAAGTAAAGAGAAAATGTTTTTTGTTTACAACTTTAAATGAACTTGTTGCTAGTTCAGTCAGCAAAGAAAGGCTAAGTCAAGTGTTTCCCACACTTACCTCCTCACAGTCCTCACACAATTTTAAAAAACATTTTACAAGATCAGAACAAAACTTTATCAAATACATAACTAAGATGCTGCTAGTGGATCATGGACATTGGGAATTCCAATGTGGAGTGAATACCTTTCTATGATGCGGTTTTCAGTGTCAAATTTGCAGAGAACAGGTGGTAACATATTTTTTTAACATGTCATTAAAGAACAGAATCATCCTCACCACTTCTTCTGTAGCAACTTGCCACCATTAGCTGCCACTTCACCTGGGTTGGTCTGATAAACACAGCAGAAAGACATCCAGTCAGTATGAACATATAACCCTGTACTTCACTTTTTCAAAAGAAAATAACAGATTGGTAAAAATCAAATCAGAATTCAGCTGGAAGGCAAACAAAACCAAATCATCGGTCCCTTTTGTTCAGGAAAGAAACTACTTCCAGATGAGAATAAGCGTCATAGTTGATGAAATATGGCAACAAGGAAAACAAGATAATAAGAAATAAGAAATAAGACTGGAATCACTTAATCATGTTAGAGTTACTGTAAGAATAACATCATTTCACAGATATTTCTCAATATGATAGAATAATTTGGCATTATGTTGAATATGAGCTGCCAGTTCCAAAAATGATTAGCAATTTAACACAGATCAATTTGCTTTGTTACTTATCATGCTATAATCTTTCAAAGCACTATGACTATTGGTTACTTACTGTATGAGTGTGGCTCTTTCAAAGTACTGAATGGCCTTTTCACAGAACTGTGTCTCGATGTAGTAAGCCCCGAGCCACTCAATCACATCGATGTTGGAGGGGAAGTACCTGAAGGACTGGACGGCAACATAACAAATTATTCAATTAGTCTGTGGACAGAAAACATTTAATTATGGTTCCCTCCGTACCTCATAGTAGTGTTGGAAAGCCTGGGACTTGTCCCCCTCGCCATCGTGGAGCTCTCCCAGTTTGGCCAGTGCCTGGGGGTCGGTGGGAGTTACACTGATGACCTGCATCAACCACTCGATTGCCTGTTGTGGCTCTTCCAGAAGCTCATAGATGAAGCCAATGAGTCAAGGACCAACAGCTCACATGGGAATGGACAGAGATGCAGGTTTGAATCCCTAAATTAACACCTTCCTAGCAACATCTACTGAGGAACTGTTAGAAACAGTTAACCGATATGACACACAGACAAACATACATACATAAATCACACTTCCTGCCAGAAGGATACAGATTGGCCAGCTGGTACATGACTTGGGCACTGTTTCTTAGAATGGCGTGGAGCTTCAGGAAGCAGTCCAGAGCCTCCTCCAGACGATTCAGTTTCTTGTAGGTTAGACCTGGTACAAGTGGATAGAAACTTCTGTACTTTTGATCCAGAGCCAATGGGACACTGACCCCATAACAAGTTTCTTTGATACCCACAGATATTCCCTTGAAAAATGGTGACACGTTAGGACCTTACAGTGTACTGGAGATAAACTGCTTATTCAAACCGGTCATGAGCCCACCTCTCACGGTTGAATCATACTGTTAACATTTAGATTCCAGGCAATTGAAGCTGACTGTGAGAAACGTCTGTTTTTAGACATTTTATTCATTGTTGTTTGCTTTTAAGTGTGACCTATACCTCACATAGAAAGGGATAATGGATAATGAATGCCCTGACCAAAGCTGTTCATTGAGATCAATCTCTAGATTATCCACCATTAAACTGTATCATGGAAATGGATGTTACCCAGGTTATAGAGGGCCTCAGTGCAGGAAGAATCATTCCTCAGTGCCTCTTTGTAGAACTCTGCAGCCTTTTCATAGTCTTGCTTGACGAACACCGTGTTGCCTTTGTTGATAAGTGCTGCCGGGTTGTAGCGGTCAGCATTCATGGCGAGGTCAGCGTATCGATCAGCCTGGTCATAGTCCTTCTCCTGCAACAGGTGAAACATCAGAGGGGAATCATTTACTGATAGCAGGTTGGTACAGAGAATGGGAGAGTTTACATTCAGATATACTTGACAGCATCCACTTGGCTAAAGTTGAACAGTTTTATGGCAAAACATATTTCATCTAAATTAGGCATTAAGCTTCTAAAAGAAATCCAATCCCGTCTCTTTTCTTTATATGTGTGTGTGTTATCTGACAGCCTTTTAATTAGTCAATGAGAGGATCATACCAGGAAGTAGAGGAAAGAGAGGTTGGTGGCTGCAGCACTCTTCACTCTGCTGTCCTTCTTCTCAAATGTCTTCAAAGTTTCCACTGCCTGATAACACATAATAAAAAAACTGTCAGGGCTGTCAGCAATACTGTATAACTTTAGTGCAAGCCAAATTCCCCAGCATATAACAAATAGACACTTTGAATTTTTGAATTCCATAAATTTTTCTGATGAAATCATGATGTAATCTTACGCTTCTGGTCTGATGATTTATGCAGAGCCCTCACACCTTCAATTAATATTATTCAGCTGATATCAACAGATATGTATAAATGTGTAGTTAAACAAATATTTTGGGAAAACTGCAGTATATAAAGCGGAGCAGTGAAGGAAGCACCATAAACACAAAGAAAATCCAAAGATTATCATTAAAGATAAAGATGACTGCAGGATGTAACAGCTTATCTAATGAGCTTTTTGAAATAAAAACTCTTCACATTTAATTGGCTGTAAATGCATTATATACCGGGGAGACTTTCCAACAGCATTTGCGTGTAAAAGTTTTCATTTTGACAAACCACCAGCTAGGCTACAGCTGCAGTGACGCTGAAGGTTACACCACCACCACCACTGTCTGTTAAGAGTATGAAAGCACCACACACACATGCATTTGATGTATATGGAACTGCAAAGTTTTCAATATTAAATAAATAAATATGACACTTTTTATTCAATAATGTCACTTTTTATGACAGTGGTGTAGTCACAGTTGCACAGCAAAAGATACACAAGCTTAAAAAGCTACAGAAGTTGAGTTACTGTGTCTGTTTATTTACAGCAGCAGCTTATTGTTGGTTGAATAATGCTCGTATTGTTGTTGCTAAGCGAGGCTAGGGGCACGTGACTGGCTGAAAGGTGAGAGGGCGGTGACAACACCACGGTCATGAAAAGTGACATTATGAAATAAAACTTGACATGAAATGTGTTATTGGGGGGAAAATGCCACAATGGAATAAAAACAAAACTTTTGAAAAAGGGCATTTTGAAATAGTGTCTGTAATGAAATAAAATTACAAAATTTCATAACAACTGGATATCTATGATAATATCCATTATATGAATAACCTTTTATCATAATGAGTATTCATCATTTTTTCACAAATTGTTGTTTCATTTATATATTTTACACTATTCATTTATATGATTATTTATTTCATAATGTCTTTTTTAAATTTATTTAATATTGCACATTTTGTGGCTCCATAGATGTGAAGCCTGTCAGTGTTAGAGAGTTGGTTTCTGCAGTTGTATAGAAGTGGAAAAGGTGTCATCGGTGTTTTACTGTTGTCCACAGAGCAGATCCTCTGGCAGAGCTGCAGTTCCTTGAGAGCTCAGTGGTATATTGTGAAATAAGGAACCATGGTTATAATTTCCTTTCCGCCCTGAGATTTTCCTTTCTGGTCTGTGGGTTTTAACCAATAACTGCTTCTCCAACTTCTCTTGGCAGTGTCGTTATTTGGAAAAGGCATGCTTAAGTAGTAACATGTCAGGGAAAATAAAAACAACACAATCTAAATGTGAACATGGAAACAGAGGGCACACATACCTCAACCTTAGGCATGCAGATGGGAAGGAAACAAGACAAAAGCAAGAGAGAATGGAGGGCAATGAGAAGGGGAAAATTTGAGTCTGATCCTGCACACTTCTTAAATAGCAGGAGAAAACTGACATATATAAATAACACTGGCCAATAACTGTATGGAAACAACGTTGTAAAAAAAAAAGATGGAAAAACCAATATAAAAGGACAACGAAGACCAGATCACCCATATGTTAAGCGTGTTTAAAGGGAAATACCACTCACATTAACAACTTATACATGTAACTTCTACCCTGACACAAACTGTATTTTTGAGCTTTAATGAAAGTACATTTTCAGGTTCAGAACCCGTAACACAAATTGTGTGATGATAAAAAAAAAAAAAACTAAGATGGAGAAAAAATATGTTCTGTTTCTGCAAAGTCAGTGCATATACTGGCTTATACTTTATTTATACTAGACTATACTATATATAATATATAACAGAGATTTAAGTTTCAAGCATTCACATTAAATGCTTGGTTTGAACGTCTGGCTTTAAAATGGGAAACATCTATATGTTTTCAAATATTCTATAACAAGGTGGCAAATATTAGCACGATCTGGTTCTAGATGTCAATTTAGTCTAAGCCATTATTTAGCTCTCCTTTTAGCTCAAAATATGTATTTGGACATACAATATTAACAGTGGGATGAGAAGTTTGTAGTTGCCTTGCTGCTATGGCTATAACAATTGAGACTAAAGGAGTGAGATGCCTAAATTGAGTGGTATTGCCCTTTATACTGTTGAGACAAGCAGTCACCTGGTTGAAGTCCTTCTGTCTGAGGTAGGTGATGGCTTTGTTTATCTCTAGATCGTTGGCAAGTTCAACATACTGAGAACTCTTCACCATGTCCACACACCTAAAAAACAACCATACATGCACACAGTAAAACACTTCATGCATCATATCATATGATATAATTTCATACTTGCTGCAAATAACATGTATAATACACTTACTTCTAAAACTTAAAAGTAGTGACAAAACATTTTGAATTATTCTGATTTTCATATTTGCTTTTAGAGTGAGCTGGGTGGAAAATCCATAACAATTTTAAAAAGTAGAATTGCACAAAGGGAATACACTTCAAGACATCCAGTGACATTCCCCTAGTTTTGTCAGTCTCAAAACTTAAAAAAAAAATGTTTTTATTGTTGTTGCTAATTATTATCTGAAACAGCAGTTCAACAACAACACTTATGTATGGAGGTAATGCCTATTAATGCCTACCTATCAGCTACCACCGGGAATACCATGTTTTTGTGTTCCTGATTCCTTAATAGCACTGTCATGGAGCTGGAGTCTACTTGTACATCGTATGCCCTCTAGTGTTAAGATGTTAAGATTAAAAAAACACAACAGTAACGAACCAGTCAAATCCAGTAGCAAAAGAATTCTCAATGGCCGGAGCGATGAGCTTGGCTGCCGTCATGATGTACTTCTCACACAGGATTTTTCTGCGGACAGTAAAGATTCAGGAAATACATGGTTCTAAACCCAAATATTAAAACAACAGTGTGCCTTGTGTTTCAGTGTTTTGGTATAGAAGACAATGTCGGTGGCTTGTAAGGACAAAACATTGAAGTTCTGCTCAAACCAAGTGTGTGTTTTGTGTTGTGGGAATTCTTACAGATCTCTTTCCATCTGGTGAAGTTTGTCATTCTTAATGGCCTCGATGATCATATTTGAGCTGGTGTCATCCTGACAGAGACGACAGGAAAAGATTTACATTAAGATCTTACAATCCCCAACACTTTGTTGTACATATTAGTATTCGGTATGTGGTCTATTGTGACCTAGAAAAGGAAAGAGCTTTCAACAGAGCCATTTTGAGAATTGGATAAACTGACTGAGAACAACATGGTTGTTAGGAGGTTGAGGCTTTTTGGGCCAAGGTAAATTGTAGACCACATTATGAGATATGCCATTGCCAAAAATTGTTCTGTAAAGGATTTTGGGAATATTGAATTACAAGGGACGGATAGATATGAAAGTATGGCTTGCAGTCAGACAAAAAGCTATAGTAAGAAGTTAATGTAAAGGGGATCTTCAGAACATTTTGGGAAATCTACCCAATAAAAAAAAATGATCCTGCCTTTTGAGAAACAGAAAATTCAGAGNNTGGACAGATTAAGAATGCAGATCCAAATACAGACAAGCATAGAGAAAATGTGGATAACCATTATTAAATGCTATGTGTTTATAAATAAACATTTATTAATGTGACTCACATTAGATGGGATGTACTTGTCTTCATCATCAATGCCCAGAGGAACAGAAATGAGCTTCTGAAAGGCCTTCTTCATCCTGTCCCTGTCGCCAATGGCATAGTAGCACAGGATTAGGTTGAAGCCTGTCTTAATGTTGGGGCTCTCGCTCATGATGTGCTCAAAAGATGTTATGGCGTCTGAGTACTGGCCCATGCGGACAAAGACCACGCCGATATTCTGCATGATCTTGATCCTCATCTCCTTGTGAGCATTGGAGATCTGATCCAGGGCCATTCGGTAGAACTTGATGGCTTTAGGGTAGTTCTTCTGTTTGACGTAGATGTTGGCCATGTTGACTTTCATACGGCCTGAAAGAGCAGCACGGACGTAGTTTGAGGGGAAAACCACAGCAAAAGTACAACTGATGCAACAAACAGTCCAGGGCATGAGCATGAGTTTCTTTGTATCAATGATCTGGGGATATTTCAAACACTGGTAGATACATGAAGACAAGAAGATACTGACACAAAAAATGAAAATTATTGATGATCTTAAGACAAAGAGCCTGAATCCAGAAAGTTGGAAGGTCAGAGACTCTGTTCCAGTCCAGTTTATACTTCTCGTAAAATCCTAAAAGCTGTACTAGGTGCCAATCTTTTACCAATCTTTCTTGTTTTTCATAATACCCATAAACACTATCTAAGGGCAGGTGTTGCGCTGCGAGGAGAGGAGAGGATGGATGGATTTTTTTTATGTTCCTCAAATTTAAAACATGTTTCCTTGAGTTGGACAAGCAATTTGTTGACTCTGAAAACAAGATGATTTTTCACCACTAATAATAGTAGTTTAGGAATAGTTTAGTATTAGTAATTTTCTCTTACTTAAGAGAAGAGAAAAAAAAGAAAACATTGGTGAATCTCAGAATTCAATGGGTACCAACAAAATCAGAACACAGGATTTGTCTGTCCTTACTGCATAATATGTGGATTCACCAGGGCAGCCATAGTTTAAACAAATCTGTAAGGATGGAATATGAAGCAGAGTGGTCTGCTCACCTGCATTACTGAACATCTTGTTCTTCACAATGACCTGGTAGCTGTTTAGGGCCTCTGGGTACATTTCATTGTTCGCATACTGGTTGGCAAGGTTGAGCAAAACCTAGCAATGACAGAGAGATTCAATATTTCTTATTTAGAAATAATAGAAAACAGGCAATGGAGTCAAATTTTAAGTTTGGCTTTGGAGGCAGTGGACTTAACCACTCAGCTATGCGGGTACAGCCCAGAGAAGACAAACATGCGCCCTGCTGGCTGAGGAACAAATCCGGCCAGATATTTCCTGTACTGTGTCTCCCTCTAGCACAGAAATATCACTTCATGTGAAAAGAAATAGAATCACCACTTCTTCTGATAAACATCATTGTATGTAAGTACATAAAAGCTACATGTGACATGAGAGCTCAAGAACAATCAAAAAGAGAATGCATCCTCACATATACAGAAGCTGTAAGGCATTTTGCATTCCTGAGTGCATTTGTGTGGTGATATTACAGATAATAAATGGCAAAACCTAGACACAGTGACATCAAAATTACATATTTCAAGCACTACAATTGAGTTTAAAGGCAGAAAGCCAACACTTAAAATACAGGTTTTGGTGTCAGTCTCACAGAATCAAACAGTAACCACATGAGTAGACCGGAATAAAGTGCTGCAACTGGTACAGGACAAGTGCCATTTTATATAACTGCTAGCAGTACTTTTGCTCTGTCTTATTTGTACTAAGCCACCACACTCTCACACTAAGCAAGTCACCAAATATTTCCTCAAACACACCATTTATTTTACACAAATACTACCAAAGAATGTAAAACAGGTATTTTTTTTCCCTTAAGAAACTAATAAAAAGCAGGCTTAAAGAGTGGGTTTTCCAAAGCTTGTACTTGTACTTGTAGTTTCTTGGGCATGTCATTTCAGAATGTTAGGAAGTAAATGCTCGATAATTTCATTTACAGACACTGGTATACCCATTGGTATACAGCAGCCTTACTTACAGAGTAGGTGAGGTCTAAATTGATGTGGTCTGCATTGCCCGACTGCTCCCGCTGTCTCACCAGTGCTCTCTCCTTCCTCCCTGCCTCTTTGGCTTTTTCAAGAGCCTGTAGAAACACATCATATGCGCACACACAGATTAAATACAGTAGGGAGACAAGCACATGCAAACATAAAAGACACAATCCCATATGCAAAAAGCATGCATGTATGTATGCAAAGCATGTGTATACAATGTTTCAGATATAATGGATTTCTGTTGGACATCACAGTGTATTACAAACTCAGTCTTTTGTCTAAGTTATCCTACTTATGAAACAACACTGAACATAGGTAGGGTGATGAGCTTCAGGTTTTTTTGGCCAACCCCTTTTTAGGCTAAACAACTATTAGCAGTTGAGCCAAAAGCTTTATTACAGTGTTGAATTTGCTCTTAAGTATAAAGGGTATCCGACGATACACTTTAACCTGATACTCAGTCCCGTGTGTTGGAGTATAGTGCTGACATAATGAAAAATGAATCACTGTTTACTGCCTTACTTGGAGGCCATTCTTTCCAAATCCAAACAGCTATTATTACTAAACAGTATGTTAAAGAATGACAGAGTCTGACCAGCTGTAAGGCTCCCATGCTCTGTGCCATGCAGCTCTCTTCTATCAGGTCATTCACTTTCTTCTCCAGGATTTTGATCTTCTCCTCAGGCCTGCAAGACAACAGACACAACAATACAATGTGTGATAATGCTGCTTGAATGCATGAGCCTTTTCACAAGATACCTCTGCTTAGAGACAATTTAGTAATAATGCAATGTTACAAGAGTGACAGAAACATTTTATAGTAGAGATAAATAAAAATTAAAAAGCAGCTTAGTTAGTACACAAATTGGATTATTTTAAGTTCCATTGTTAAGTGTTATTTTGTCTTATTAATTGTTTACTTTGAATATAAGTATTATACCTTATTATGACAATATGCATCCTAATTAGATGCAATATAGCACCTATAAAAACCAATATATAGGTACTGCTAAGGGGAAAAAACTAATCTTGGATGGTTCAGCGATATTCTTAAATGAAACACTGAAAAAGACAAATCAGTTTAAAGAGTGACAACTTACGTGTCCTCATTCTTTGCTTCAAGTGGAGGTGCAGGGCCTTTGGACTGGCCCAGAGGGTCAAAGTTCGAGCCTGAAAATAAGAATCATACTAATTATCAGTCCGACAGGAATACTATATTGTTTAGATAATTACAATTTGTCCTTATAGATATATGTATATGTTTATATTAATAAAAAGAAAGGTTTTTAAAGATTAGAAACAGTCCTGCTTCCTTCTGCTTGTTCCATTCTGACATTGTCTCTCTACAACTGTGTCTATTCCAGAGGAAGAACTTCCACAATGCAGACACAGTAAAAATGAGCAGCTGGGCGCCCGGTTAGCTCACTTGGTAGAGCTGGCGACCATGGGCCGAGTCCTGCAGCGGCCCAGGGTTCGA